AGAGCTCTCTCAGTCCCACCGACCTCACAGGGTGTCTGTCGTGGGGAGGGTAAGGGAAAGGAGACCGTAAGCCGCTCTGAGACTCCGAGTGAAGGGCGAGGTATAAATCCAATCTCTTCTTCTTCTTGTGAGTGAAAATCCTACTTTGTGAGCTACTGGCATTAAAGTTGTGAGCAAGCCATTTGGCTGGTGCATAAATTAGTTTGCTCTGGAGCCCTCCTTCCTGAGCGAAGGCAAAAAAATGGGTGAGCTGGAGGCTAAAAAACTGTGAGCTAGGCTCACACTAACTCAGCTTAGAGGGAACACTGGGTAGGAATCTGATACAGGCCGTCCCTGAATGGTCAGAAGATGGGGCTGGGTGGTCAAGTGGACTCTGGCAACAGAGGCAAAGAAGGAGGGGAGGCAGAGTTGCATAGGGGCCAGTATATTGTCCTTGGACTAGGGAGACCCAGGTTCAAATCCTTGCTTGCTAGGACACTGCTCTTAGCCTAATCTACCTCGCAGGGGTGTTGTGAGGATAAAATGGAGGAGAGGAAGACCACACACACTTCCCCAAACTCCTTGAAAGAAGGAGAGGATACAAATGCACTTTAATCGATACACTATTAGCCACCCGTGGCCCCAATCTGTGGATAGATAATTCTGGGGATCGGGGCCACATGGCGGTGAAACAGATTTGCCTGGACACTTGGGGGACTCTCCGGATACGCAGAAGAGTTGGTTTTTCTACCCCGCTTGTCTCTACCCTGAGGATTCTCAAAGCGGCTGACCGTCACCTCCCCTTTCTCTCTCCGCAGTGTTCACCTTGTGAGGTAGGTGGGGCCGAGAGAGTTCGGAAAGAACGGGGACTGGCCCAAAGTCACCCAGCAGGCCTCCCATGTCTCAGAGTGGCTTAACGGTCGCCTTCCCTTCAACGCTCCCTCTAAGCTGCGGAGCCTTGTGAGCAAAAATCCTACTTTGTGAGCAACTGGCATTAAAGCTGCGAGCGAGCGGTTTGGCTGTTGCATAAATGAGTTTGCTCTGGAGCCCTCCTTCCTGAGCGGAGACGGAAATGTGTGAGCTGGAGGCAATGCTCCCTCTAAGCTGTGGAAACTTGTGAGTAAAAAGCCTACGTTGTGAGCTACTGGCATTGAAGTTGTGAGCGAGCAATTTGGCTACTGTATAAATTAGTTTGCTGAGGAGCCATCCTTCCTGAGCTAAGACAAAAATATGTGAGCCAGAGGCTAAAAAATTGTGAGCTAGCTCGCACTAACTCAGCTTAGAGGGAACACTGCTTCCCTTCCTCTCCCTTGTGAGGCAGGTGGGGCTGAGAGAGTCCGGAGAGACCTGGGACTGGCTGGCCCAAGGTCACCCAATGGGCCTCATGTGGAGGGAGGAGTGGGGAATCGAACCCGGTTCTCCAGATTAGAGTTCACCGCTCTTAATCACTACACCACACCTCCAGTGGTTGTCACAGTTCCTGAGTCGAGCTGGGCCTGAGGGCGGGGCCCGTGCAGCCCATTAGCTGTAAGCTTGCCAAGTCCCCCCGCCCCAGAGGCCCGTTACCCGCCACCGGCGGATCGGGGCCCGGGGGGGGACCCCACCCCAGTGTGCGTGTCACCAGGAAGTGATGTTATGACACCGGGCACGCTGGGGGCGGGGCCACGGTCATCCGAGGGAAAACTCTATGGTTTTCCCTTGGATGGTCGTGGTCCCGCCACCAAAAAGGGTTCCAGAGGAGATCCGGGAAATTACAGGCCTGTCAGTCTGACGTCGATACCGGGTAAATTGGTGGAAACCATTATTAAGGAAAGAATTAGTAGGCACATAGATGAACAAAACCTATTGAGGCAGACTCAGCACGGTTTCTGTAAGGGAAGATCTTGTCTCACTAACCTGTTAGTGTTCTTTGAGGGGGTGAACAAACATGTGGACAAGGGGGATCCAATAGATATTGTTTACCTTGACTTCCAGAAAGCTTTTGATAAAGTTCCTCATCAAAGGCTCCTAAGCAAGCTCAAAAATCATGGGATAAAAGGACAAGTCCTTTTATGGATCAAAAACTGGCTAATTCATAGAAAACAGAGAGTGAGTATAAATGGGCAGTTCTCCCAGTGGAGGGGTGTAAGCAGTGGGGTACCACAGGGATCAGTACTTGGTCCACTGCTTTTTAACTTGTTCATTAATGATTTGGAGATGGGAGTAAGCAGTGAAGTGGCTAAATTTGCGGATGATACAAAGTTGTTCAGGGTGGTGAAAACCAGTGAGGATTGTGAGGCACTCCAAAGGGATCTGTCAATTTTGGGCGAGTGGGCGTCAACATGGCAAATGGGGTTCAATGTGGCCAAGTGCAAGGTGATGCACATTGGAGCCAAAAATCCTAACTATAAATACACGTTGATGGGGTCTGAACTGGCAGAGACTGATCAAGAGAGAGATCTTGGAGTTGTAGTAGATAACTCACTGAAAATGTCGAGACAGTGTGTGACTGCAATAAAGAAGGCCAGTGCTATGCTGGGGATTATTAGGAAGGGAATTAAAAACAAATCAGGCAGTACCATAATGCCCCTGTATAAATCGATGGTACGTCCTCATTTGGAGTACTGTGTACAGTTCTGGCCACCACACCACAGAAAGGATATTATAGCATTGGGAAAAGTGCAGAAAAAGGCAACTGGAATGATCAAAGGGTTGGAACACTTTCCCTATGAACAAAGGTTGAAGCGCTTGGGGCTCTTTAGCTTGGAGAAACAATGACTGAGGGGTGACATGATTGAGGTTTATAAGATTATGCATGGGAAAGAGCAGGTAGAGAAAGAGGTACTTTTCTCCCTTTCTCACAATACAAGAACTCGTGGGCACTCCATGAAATTGCTGAGCGGTCGGGTTAGAACAGACAAAAGGAAGTCCTTCACCCAAAGAGTGATTAACACACGGAATTCACTGCCACAAGAAGTGGTGGCGGCTACAAGCATGGGCGGCTTCAAGAGGGAATTGGATAAGCATATGGAGCAGAGGTCCATCAGTGGCTATTATCCACAAGGTATAGATAGGGACTCTGGGGCAAGTGATGCTCTGTCATCTTGGTGCTTGGGGGGGGTCAACAGTGGGAGGGCTTCTAATGCACTGTGTGACACAGAGTGGACTGGATGGGCCATTGGCCTGATCCAACATTGGCGTCTCTTATATTCTTATATCCTGCTTTTCTCCTGTTTGGGACTCAAAGCCGCTTTTATCACATTGTTCTCTCCTCCTCCGTCTTCTCACAACAACAGCCCTGTGAGGTAGGCCAAGCCCTGAATTTGAGACAGGCCCAAGGTCACCCAGCAAGCTTCCAAAGTAGAAGGGGGCATTCGAACCTGGGTTAACACAGTGGCGCTCACTGGCCACATGCATCATGGGAGCCAGTTCAGACATCCACAGGTGGCTAAAGAAAAGTGAGTGAGAAAGGGGGAGAGCGGCTTTTCTCTCCCGCGCACAACAGACGCCCCAATTCCTCCTCCTCTATTCTTTTTTTTTTTTTTAAAAACAATTTATTAGGATATATTTAGACATGTTAACATAAACTTATATTCACCATTACAATCCTAACCTATATCCTACCCCCCACCCTTTCCCCCTCAACCGGCTTCCAGCAGTGCTCCAACCTCCAGCCCCATACTTCAGTATTCTATTTTCCCAAATCCACTTTTTCAACAGGTAACAGTTACTTAAAATACAAGTACTTAAAATACAATTATACTAATTTTCAGTAATTGTCAAAACAAAACAAATTATCTTTTACATCTCCATTCTTTTCCAAATATTCTTTCAGGTCTTTCCAATCTTTAAAAAAATCTTCTGCCTCCTCCTCCTCTATTCTGTTTGCCTTCACAACAAGCCTGTGAGGTAGACCACTGTGGGTTCCGGTTTACTGTTACAAACAATGTCATGGATTTCACCAATCAGAATGCACAAATCAAAAGGCAGCAAAGAGGGAGCGACACGGCTTCATTCCTTCGCTCATCGTTAGGCCCTCCGGGAACAAGGGTGTTCCTTTAACCTCAGAACCAGTTCCTCTTTCTTGATTGTGAAAGGTCAGAGAGCCAACTGGAAAGACTCTTTTGGTGTAGTGGATAAGTGCGCAGACTCTAATCTGGGAGAACTGGGTCTGATTCCCCAGTCCTCCACTTGCAGCTGCTGGATGACCTGGGGCAAGCCATAGTTCTGTCAGAGCTGTCCTCTTAAGAGAAGTCCTCGGGAGAGCTCTCTCAGCCCCACCTACCTCACAGGGTGTCTGTTGTGGGAAGGGGAAGGGAAAGGAGATTGTAAACTGCTCTGAGACTCCACGTGAAGGGCGGGGTATAAATCCAATCTCCTCTCCTTTTAAAAGCTGGATTCTGCACAGAGATTTAGCAGTGGGGAATGGTTTCCGCCAACTTCATGTGTGTCCAGAAAAGCGGGTAAGT